CTATTTAAGGCGAGGCATTCTGTATCCTCACTCTTTCCCCTACCTAGCATCAGAGATCTTACTTGCAAGTAGCAGAAACAAAACCTTGATAATTTAAGCATAAAATAAGCATATTGAAAAGCTACTGAGTAGTTCATAGTTTGATAGGAAAATGGAAGAATAAGGCTCAGAAGTTACATGGCCAGAAACATCTAAATCACTGCTTAGAACTCATACAGGAAGGTCACTGCAGCCACCCTTGAGTCAGTCCATAGAACAGGCACTGAACCCTGCTGCCAGTCCTGCTGCCAGCCATACTGCCTGGATTTGCCCCTGTCATGGGGGGTGGGTGGGTGGTTCCCTGCATCTCTGCTCTCTGCCTGCACTGGGACTAGAGGGGTTGGCCTAATTGGGAACAGACCAGCCCCATGTCTATGGCCTACTGCAAGGAGGCTGAGAAGAAACTAGCTGGTGGGTTGTGTGTGTGGTGGGCTCAGTCTCCCTAAACTACTCTGGTTTCCCTGTTTCTTCATTTGTTAACTGAAAATAAAGTCCCAACAATAGCTATATAAAGAGTTTATTAAATAATCAAAGTGAGGATTCGCACCCAGGAACTAGTCCACAGATTTTACTCTGTGAGAGTTGTTCTAATAAACACAAGCTTGAATTTAGTTTATATAGGTAGGAGCAGTGAAGCACTGATATTAAGAAGAAAAAAAGTAATTGTAATCAAGTAAAAACTAAAATCAACAACTATTAACCAGAGACATTCTGGGAGGGGGTAGGGCAGAGTGGGGAATAGGATCAAAACTCTGGAGGAGCACACTGGACTTTGGTGATGGCACGCGGGTGAAGTGGTGGTGGGAAGCCCATGGAGAGTACAGCCAAGATGAAAAATGTACAAAATGAAAATGATGTAAAAATATATATTAAAAAAATAAACCTAGGCTTGGCATTTCCTCTGGGAAACTTTTGCTAGGGGAAAAAAAAGAATGTAACAATGAGACAACAGGAAAGTTGTCTTAGCCTAAAGATATGCTAATGCTAGAAAAAGGCATTTTGTAATTTTGTCCTAAATAATGAACTGCAGAAATGGAAAGACTGAGTGCTAAATCTTTTTCTGAGTTTATCAGTAAGTGTGAAAAGACTGGCTTTGCCTTCAGGCAGCAGATTCCTGTACACAGGATGGGACCTGTGGAGATGGCTTTGTTTTCTATCTAATGGAGAGAGTGGGGGTGGGGTTTCAGAAAACTTTACAATATGATTACATCATTTCCATCAAGCAAGAGCCGATGTTAAAATTTAGTCAATCCTTTCTGGCATTCAAGAAATGTTATATGATGAGAGACTGTGTTAATGATTAGATGTGTTTCACATAAGTTGGGTAAATTTGTACATTAATAATTTATAATTGATTCAAAATAATATACATTTTAACTTTGAAAAGACACTATTAATGTATAAAATCCAAAATTATAATATGTGAATTTACATTGTAAATACATTTTCTTATACAAGTACATATGTAAACATGTCTTTTAACAATGTGTAATTTACAAATGAAAATACATTTTAAAATGGTTATCTTTGATGTGTCATATAGAATAGTATGTAAAGAATTTTGTGGAGAAATGTTTGTTTCAATTCAGTGTTCAAACTCTGTTTGGCCCCTAGAGAACTGTCCCACTACAGGGAAAGTTTATGTGGCTAAGAAGTTTATGAAGACATCTTCAATTTGTTCGGTTAAAAATAACAAGCATTATTTCCCCTTTTCTTCTCCTCTACTCATTGTTGGAAGATGTTTCTGCTTCTTTGGTGCAATAACTCCAAAATAGCAAAATTCTAAAATATCTAAAAAGCAGAACTTGTGAAAACAAGATATAGCAATGTTCAAAGACAAACTGTTCTGCTTGTCTATTTCTCTTTAACTTGTCATATTTTACTGTAAATGCACTGTATGTATCTATAGGAAGTTTGCATTTATTTTTGAAGATAAACATACTTTGAATTTACCTCCTACCATAGTGTCTTGGTTTGTTTGAAAAGGGAAAAATCTAACTTTAATTTTAGGTATGCAGCAAAATAATTTGTTTGTTATTATTTTTAACAGGTATAAAACTACCAGCACTTCCTGATTCAGAATATTTGGGGAAGATTATTATATAGATAGAGAGATGTCTTCTCTGATGTGGGCAAGTTGGCAACCTATATGAAAAAAATGTCTCCAACTGGTGTACTCCATTATAATTTCAATAGATTTTCCCATAGAAACAAGCTTTATGAAATGGTGGACATATAAAGTTGAAATAATACAATAAGAACAATCCATGTTCCTGATACATAATGTATTAAATGCCCCTGAGACATTTTTGGGTGCTTAAAAAAGAAAGAACAACTATAGGTATTAATTTCATTGAGACTTAAAAACATAATTTAATAATTAGTGATTATTTTCTTTCTTGTATTTTTGATTTTTCATGTAAAACCACAAATGCGTTGCCATTTCTTTTGTAAGTACTTATTCCAAAGGTGTAAGTATATATAAGCTATAGGTACTTACCTAGTTATATAATAATATGTTTATTCCTATGTTGAGATGCTCTATTATTGTTGATGTCGCTAATATAACTTAGTAGCTAAGTGAGTTCATAATAGCTTGGGGCCTTGTTATTTTGTTTAGATTTATGCTATTATTTTATTTTTTTAAAGATTTATTTATACATACAGAACAGGCTAGAGGTGCAAGGATGGTGAGAGAACTCACCAGTGACAGAGTGGAGAGCAGAACAGGCACACTGAGGGGAGCAGTGGACAAGGCAGGAGAGGTCTGCTGTGCCATGTGGGTCACTGGGGCCAGGGATCAAACTCCTGCTGAGGAAGCTGCTTGCAGTGCTGCTCTTTAATCCATTGTGCCACCAGGGAGTATTTTCAATATGAATTAGTATTTTCAATACTATGCTAGTATTTTCAATATGAATTAGTATCCCACCAAAGGCTAAGAAAATAAGGAACAGAAACTATGTAAAATATCATTTTTCTCCATCCCTCTTCATTTTTTTATTCCATTTTTTACAGGAATTTTGACTTGCCCTTAAATATCACATGAACTAAGTTAGAATGATGCTTGCTTAATAGAGCCATAGGAAGTTGTGAACATTATGAAAGGAGAAAGCTAAATCCTATGCTTTTTCAATTTTTATTGAATGAGCTTTTGAGAAATTATTGGGGGAAAAAATAATGTTCTAAGCACTTTTGCTTCAGTGAGTGGCTCAATTTCCTGGACTGTTTATATTCCCGCAAGAGTCTAGAACACGCTCTTGGTGATATGCTTTACTGAGAAGGGACTTGGAGACAACCAGGTAGCCATATCTGTCATCAAGTTCATTCTTTAAGGGTCTTTCTGTAACTGGGTGGTCCCTAGGAGAAGGGAAGTTCCAGGTTCCCTGCCCCACCCAGAAGGAGGGTGGAACTGAACAGAGAAAAAGGAGAGAGAAGAAGAGAGAAGGAAGGCAGAAGGCAGGAGGCAGATGGAGAAGGAGACCTAAGGAAGCCACATGGAGCAGCAAACATGTGATGAAGAAACCGGGCTTGTTTCCTGACACTGGACTGGTTAAGGCAGATGTGGATGAGATACCTGTAGGGAGGTGACTATGGCAGTGTTTATATTGATTTTGATTTTGCTCTTTTCCTCTCAGATTTGTCTGGCCATTTCTGACCCTTTTCCATGGGTCCCGGCCAGAAGGTGCTTTAGTCTTGTGGCAGGCTTTCAGGCCTTGCTTTGGGCCAATCCCTTTTGGGTTGACTTTTGCCCACAAGGGGATGGGTAACTTCAGGTGTTGATTTAGAAGTTACATTCTTTGTGTTTCATATTGTATATTAACTGTATTAAAGTCACTTTTCATTAAAGCTTTATATGTTTTGTCTTGTTGCGGCAGATGGCAGAACCCACTTAGAGCAGGCAGGTTTTGGGGACTTCAGGGGTGCCTCTCTCTGAATTGAGGTGCCCAATAACATTTCCACTGGATCTGGATGGTAATTATACTGGGGCATTGGGTATCCTGGGGATGACTTTACTGTGTCTGAGGCAGGGAGGGGGCCCTGGAGAAATCAAAGACATATTTGGAGTTTGGCAGGATGCTGGAAACCCCCTTCAGTGGTCTAGTGCCCACTTCCTCTTGTCATAAAGGGCTTTTTGGTGTCTTTTTTATTTTTTATTTTTTTCTTACAGGCCCCTCTCTAAGCCCTATTTCATCCAGTCAGTCAGTCACAGAGACTTAACCAACCACAAGGCATTGAAGGAAAACATTATTGTCTTGAATCCACTAAAGAGGAAGAAAAATCAGTTTATTTTTTGTTGTTAGAAAAGTGAAAATTTGAATCATCTTCTGTTCCTTGCCCCCTTTCCATTTTCTATTCTTCTATGTTTTTAGCTTTGGTTTGGACTGATTTAACTGCTAAGGGAAGACAACATTTTCTCCAGATTTTCCATCTAACTTTACTTCAGATGTCTCAGTTATACTTGCTTTCCTAAATAGAATGCAAAATAAAAAGAAAAAGAGAAATTTGTTTTACTTATAAGTCATACTTCCCTTTTAAAATAGTAAAAAAATACATTTAAAAAATCAAGTCATATAGTGAGGTACATAAAATACTGAACAAAATGGCCCACAGCCTGAACCAGCTTCTACTACCCAGAGATAACCACTCTGAGAGGACATCTTTAAATTGAAAGTTTAAAATCTGCAGCATTTTCAACTTTAGGTGCAGCATGAAGCAGTCATTTCTAGCCTAACATAGTGTGGATACAGTTTCTCAACTATCCTCTTGGTGTCTGCATGGATAGATCTTGAAGGCTCACAAAGCCCTCCTAGTCCTCAGTTCTCTCAGAGCCTTTGTTTTCATCCTTAGCACCCCTGTTGTGAGAGTTAGAAGTTCTCAGAGCTACCCTCCAAAATATTCACCCCTCAACCCAGCCTCCAGGAGTGCTTGTACCTGAGTTCTCTCCTTGTCTCTTCCCTTAGGAGGAAGATAAGCCAACTCTCTATGTGTTCAATGCCGTGACTAAAGAGACAATGCCCATAATGGAGAGCATGTCCCTCCTTGATAAAAAAGTGTCTGATTTGAGAACATTGCTGACTTTGAGATGTGGCTTCCCTGTGAGTGTCTTCTGTCTCCGCACCCCAAAAGGACTGGAGATGTATGACTGCAACACCCTCAGGAACTACCAGACCAATATCGGTACTGCTTGATATATTTGATACCAGCTCCCACCCAGGACTAGGGAACTTTGCTCCCAGTTTCACAATAAATAAAGCAGTTGTTACTAAATGAAAGCCTCTGTAAGGGTAATCTGAATGTAAATTACCCAGTAACTTTCTCCAGTGTCTGAATCTATAGAATAAGAAATGTCTCATAGCCCTACCATGTCTTGTCCTCTTCACTCAAAGCTAGCAGCCTTGGAAGAGCAAGACTCAGAACAGTTTTTTTTTTTATTTCTCTCTTAAAATATGTCAATATTTGAGTATATATAATAGCAAGTTCAAGGACATCCTTTTTCATCTTTTTAATACAAATGATAGCATGATACACACTGTTCCAAACCTTGCCTTATGAAATATCATTTTAAAATAGCATCATCAATATTAAAGAATCTTTTGAAGTTTAAGTCAACAATGTGCAGACAGAACAACTGCCTCAGTGAGCTGGCAATCTTCTGTGGTGGACAGATTACCATACCTCTTTATATTCTGTACCTCTAGGTCATGTGTGCTATACCTGTTCACCACTGAGACAAACTCAAATGGCTATCAGATTTCTTTTAACCTCTTTGGAAAATGGTTTGAAATTTATAAAGTTTCCTGCTTGAGGCCCTCCCTGGTGGCACAATGGGTTAATGAACTGCAAAAGAAACTTAAGCCACTTCGGCATGAGTTTGATCCCTGCCTGCCTGGGAGGAGACCACATGGTGTGGCAGACCTCTCCTGACCCACCCATTGCTCCCTTCAGCAGTGTACTTCGTTGATCTGCCTGTTCTGCTCCCCACTCTGTCCCTGGTGAATTCTCTCACCCTCTGCATCTCTGGCCTGTACCCCAGTTCTGTATGAATAAATAAAATATATCTTTAAAAAACAAACAAAAAAAACATACAAAATTACCAAAAAAAAAAAAATCCTGCTTGAAATAAATAAGTTCATCTGATAATTAGCACATCCTTCATTATTAAGGGTATTTATAAGGTACTGTATTAATGTAGGAAGAACTCAAATTCCATTAGAAGAAATTTTACAGGGCCCTTCCTGATGGTGCAGCGGGTTTGAGCGCAGCACTATGAAACTATCTGCAGCCACTGCAGTATGAGTTCAGTCCCCAGCCAGGGAGCTGACCCACTTGGTGTGTAAGACTTAGCACATTGTGCTGTAAAATTTCTTTTTTCTTTTCTTTTCTTTTCTTCTTCTATTTTTTTTTGGTAAAGATTTATTTATTTATGCATACAAGAACTGAGGTACAGGCCAGAGGTATGGGAGGTGAGAGGATTCAGCAGAAACAGAGTGGAGAACAGAAAAGCCGAATAACTGAAATACACTGTTGAGGGGATCAGTGGGCAGGACAGGAAAAGTCTGCCACACGAAGTGGGTCAGCTCCCTGGCTGGGGATTGAACTCATACTGCAGTGGCTGCAGATAATTTCATAGTGCTGCGCTCAAACCCACTGCACCATCAAGAAGGGTCCTGTAACATTTCTTCCAATGGAATTTGAGTTCTTCCCACATTAACACAGTACTTGTAGGTATCCTTAAGTAAATCAGTTTTGCTTTTTATTTATGTATTTATTGCTATTTTCTTGACTTTTGTTTGCTTATTCTTTCATACTAGATTTTAGTGAGGCTCTTGAAACTTTGACAGCAATTGTATTCCCTATTTTTATCATTGGAAGTGACGTTCAAGGGTTTCCCCAGAGTACCTCTCTGTAAAACATAGAGCTGCTCTATGCATCAACTAGGGAATCAGCTCTGTCCAGAACACAGTGGCTTATGTATGGAAGGGCATTCAAATGACCTTTATTTCCAAGCAACTTATTATCAAATATTTAATGAAATGCCAAAGGATAAATGAAAAAACTAGGACAATTGTTCTTCAGGCCTATGCTACTTAGATCACAATGTGATATTTTAGAGCTGAAAGAGAATTCAGAAGTGGCTTGGCCACTGAATATACAACACGTTTTTGTATATTCAATGAAAGCAAACAGGTTCTGCCTGGTTAAATGACTTGCTCAGGATAGCTCAAAGATATCATATTCACTTCTTAAAATGACCCTCTAGGAATGAAGTTTTCAGATGTAAGGTTAGAGGTCTGAGCTTGACAAGGAGACTCTGTTTTGGCCTCTCTGAGAACTAAGGATATGGCAGGAGAAGCAAGGACTGAAGGCCCTCAGAGGAAAAGAGGAAGAGTTTGCTTTTGCTTCATGCCTTAGCCTTTGAAGTCATAACATTCTTTAAGTAACCAGCCCACATTTTTTATCTACAGGATAACAGAATCCTGGGTCAGCCTCTCGCTTTTCAGTCACTGAGTCATCCCATGTTTTTGCTCTCAAGAGTTGAACCTTGATCCCTTTTCAAAGGCAGCACAATATTGGATGGCTTTAGAGAAGTAGTCCAGTTCAGATTGGCAAACAAATACCTAAGGACTGCAACTAAATACTGCACATACTAGCTCATCTAGAAATATAAAGCATATAGACTCCAGGCATTTATAGTGAAGTGGTAAAAATGAGGTGTGAATTTTACCCAATCATAATATAATCAACCAGCTCAATGTAGACTGGGGAGCTCAAAGGAAGGCATTCTGATGACTGCGGAACTCGAACACATAGATCCAAGTATGTGGATCATCTGAGCGGTAGAAGGGATGACTTTTCTTCCTCCAGGCTTGGAGAAAAACGTGAGATACAAATTCAGGAACATGGGTTTAATCTGGAGAGGGTAGAAAAGAAGATATTCTTCTGAAGAATGGAGGAAGCTTCTTAATGTCAATGGGGAAAACGCCTGAGGTCAGTTCACAGATGGTCTTAGTGGAGAGGGGACAGAGTGCAATCTTGATGCACTCACAACTGGAGCCTTGCATATCCAGGAACTAGAGTGCTTTAACAGAAGTTGAATGTGGTAGCAAGCAGCATGAGATATAGAAAGAAGTGAGGAGAAACTAAATGGCACTTTTAATAATACCAAAGTTAATTCCACCAGGAATGGAAAGACAAATCTGAGGAAATAATGAAAACAGACAAACTGTCATGCTAGTTCGCACTGAGAAGAAACAACAAATTTCTTTCACTAGGACAAAAATTAGTGAAACTGGGAAAAGGAGCTCATGCCTGGGTCTAAGGTTTAATGTAAGGAAAATCAAAGAGTGTTCCTCTGCTAAAGTTACTCGGCTGTTTAGTGGTAAAGCAATTAGTATAAATGAGATTTTTTGTTTCATTCTATTTTAGAATTTTATTATAGTGAAGAGACCCTCCAAGAGGACATATATAGTGTTTCCCAAACTTATCATCCAATAAGATTCTGTTTTAATTTTTTAATATAATAGTTTATTTTTACATCATTTTGTACATTTTTTTTTCATCTCAGTTGTAATCCCCATCACCAAGTTTCCCATCACCAAGTCACCCATGTGCCATCAACAAAGTCCCATACACTTCCCTTCGCTCCCCCCCTTTTTGACCCCATTCCCCACTCCACTCCCACAAAATGTCTCTGGTATATGGCTGTTTATTATTATTTTATCACCTGGTCCATTATACTCCTGCTATGAGCAAAACCATCCAGCATTTTTCTTTTTCTTTCTGGCTTATCTCACTAAGAATGATCTTTTCCACCTCCATCCAAGTTGCTGCAAAAGACATGTGTTTCATTTTTTTGGTTGCTGAGTAATATTCCAT